ACAAATTTAAAGATCTAATGTGTTTGACGGAGCAAGGCAAAGCGTTCCAAAGATGTGGAGCAGCAATACTAAAAGCTCGATCCCCATAAGAGTGATATGACTTTGGTTGATGTAGAAATAGTTTGTCATAAGAGCGCAAGTTACGCCCAGGAATATAAGGCCAAATCATGTCAGCAGCATAGTCGGAAGCCAAACTATTTATACATTTAAAAAAAATTAATAATATTTTTAAAACAATGCGGTGTGTACCGGAAGCCAATGTAATAATTTCAGAGTATTTGTTATATGTGAGTACTTGGATGACTTGGATATTATGTCCACATAGTTTGATATTGATGGACCTATATAAATTAAGATGAATGTGCGCAGAAGGAATTATCATCGAGGTTTAGCAGAGGAAACAAAATCACCGCAGAAGCATAACGCGCGGGATTTTGAAAGTGTTCTAATGACACCTGTTTACAGAGGATTAAATTTAATGTATTTTTCAATTGCAGGCATCTAGTAACGTTTTGTGTGAATTTTACGTTGTTTGGTGTTAGTACAGTATTCCTACTAATTGCTTCGGAAAATATCCAGTCACTAATTAGCCATAGTTTATCATTCTGTGCCTGGCTTCCTGTCATTGCTGCGATTCTTTGCCCATTCACCTGGCTTGGAACTCCAAAAGATTTTTGGTTAGTATTACAGATCATTTGTTAGAGGTTAAGGAATTGGGCAATTCATTTTTTCTATTGAGATATTAAAATATAAATAGTCTTTTATTGTTCACATTTTGATGCATATATCATTTAGGGCAATTGCTGTAGGTGCCATGTCAGCAACAGTACTTGCGTGTCTATTGATGTTTATTCAAATTCTTATGGACATCAGCATCAACCCCGATCCACATCATTCAAATACATCATTCAAGAAGTTCTTCGTCTCGTTTGGAACTATATTATTTGCATTCGGAGGACACGCTGCGTTTCCAACTATTCAACACGATATGAGGAGACCTGCCGACTTCAAATGGGGTGTGATGTGGTCGTATGCAGGTAAGTTGAACATAAAAAAAAGTTAACGTTCAGTTTGATCAAAGTTACACAGCTCCACTATATACAGTTGTAGAACAAAGTAAATGTGTTAACGTTTCTCTACGATTGGTCGAAACTTTATCTCGAATACAACCAATTACGACTAATCTGGCACAATGACGTATTCAAGCCAAGCGAAAAGCAATTCATCGCGCAAATGTTCTTGCGGTAACAACAAAATAAAAACATCATCAACATAAACTTCAACCCAACAACAACATCAGTGTCATCAACAATAACAACATAGTTAACATCCCATCAACAACATCGACATTAACTTCAACAGCGTCATTAACAACAATGACATCGTCAAACATGGTTAAAGTCACGACATCAACAACATCATCTGCTGCAACATCAACAGCATCACGACATCAACAACCTCATCAACAACAATAACAGAAATAGTAACAATAAATGCATTTCATTTCTCGTAGTTATTGTGTTAATGTACCTACCTGTGGCTGCATCGGGATACTTCGTATACGGCGACAAACTGGAAACAGATCCAAATGGAGACATTATTCTGGCTATGTTGTCACCTGGTGGTATTGCTACCACTGTAACAGTTATGATAACGGCTCACTTGACATTTGGCTATATTATTGTCATCAATCCATTGTGTCAGCAAGTGGAGGAATGGTTGGGGGTAAAACAAGGTACAGTATCCACTGATTATCTGAGACAACGAATAGTTCCCCAACCAAGAAAGGGCAATTTTAAAGCAAAATGCATTTATACATTGATGATGTGGCCTAGTCTTTACATAAAGCATTTCCCCAAGCCGGTTTATAGTTTATTTCTTCACTTATAACTTATATTATATCACGCTGATGAGTGACGAACAGATAGTAATTATTTTTGACTTCACTTAACTTATTTTCTCTTTCAGAGTTTGGTATAAAGCGGTGTATCATCCGTTCAATTGTGGTGGCGTGCAATTTGTTTGTTGCTGAAACGATTCCTCATTTTGGCGCAATTTTATCACTGGTTGGAGGTTCAACTGTAGTGTTGTTAACTTTTGTATTCCCATCCCTCTTCTACATTCGTCTGTTGACCATGGAATCAGACGATGGCCCACAGTAAGTATTAAAGGCACAAGCTTTCACCACAGAATACGGCTTATTCGCTCTCTTATCAATCAATAATTATTAATGTTTTCATTGGATTTTATTATATAAGTTATATCGTAGGCATACAATTTTTGTAATACTTTCTTTGTAAATTTCTAAAATTGTGGTGTTTTTTAACTGTATAACGTTGCTTTTTTGTAATACATTCATATACAGCCTTTTAGCTGTCTGTAATTTTTTTTTTTATCTAAACCTGAATAAAGATATATACAATTCTGACATAGGCCTATCTTCCACACACACACACCCACACACAGCGGTGGCGCCAGAAATTTGCCGACGAGAGGTCCGATGTGTCCGCGGGGTGGGGTGGGAGGTGGGACCGAACCAAGGTGCCGACGAAGCCTCGGTCGACGGCCTGAAATAAAATTGTAGGGTTCACGGGGAAGTTTTATGGCTTATGGTCCAAAATGTGCTTTTAGACCACAATATTAGGGACTGGCAATAAAAATAAGGTTAGTTAGGAAAATTATTATGTTTTTTGAATTTTTGATCTGAACCTAGTCGTTTGTCGGACGACAGGGGTCCAGGCTTGTCCGACGTCGGGGCGGGGGGAACCCCTTCCCCCGCTGGCGCCACCACTACCCACACACACACACACACACACACCCCCCCCCACACACACACACCCACACACACACCACTAAGTTCTTAAGTTTCTGAAGGTTACACTTGTTTGTTTTACAGAGTAATTGCTCTCCATGATCGAGTGATTCACTACGAAATAATTTTGATTGGAATTATTGGCGGAATAGCATCAACGTACTCAGCTATTGATGATATGGCGTCTGGTGCGTCATCATTTACTGTGCCCTGTTACGTCAACGCAAGTGCTGCACATCTATAATGAAATCTAAAAATATAGTTGCTTCTAATTAGTCTGGTTTTCATAAAACCGTTACAAGGTCGGTACGGCATTTTCAGTGCAATCGTTTTAATGCGTGCTGTCCACGGCGTAATCGGAAAGTCTCCAAGATGCGATCAAACAATCAGCGTCGTCAATGTTGTCGATAGTTTTATGGAAACAACGGTTAACTAGACCACCAATTCCCTGACTCGACGGAATAACGGCTCAAATCACGTCTGGCATGATATCTAGGGCCTACTATTCTGATTAAAAGCCTTTCTTTTCAAAATATTTGTTGTTTGAAAACAGCATAGTGTGCCTGTGAGAACAGTAATTGAATGGAAAAAAATCCCAAAGTGATAAAGCCACCGCCGCTGATTATATATTTTAAACTTTGTTCGTTATTCTTCAAAAGGCAAGATGAGACGCAGGGTTACAATAGTAAACATATATGTTATGGCCACATCGATTACAATCATGTAGAAAACATTAAGTTATACTAATCAAATCTCGCCATAGGATACATTTTCCCGACTACGAACATCCCCATTTCATAAACTGTGTAATGAGACTTAGTTTTAGCAATAGATCTAGACTACTGTATTTTATAGGCCTATTTGTAAGGCCCCTGAATAATATCAGGCAACCTTCTATGATAAGCTGAACAGGTCACTCTCTATAAATACTGATATATATATATACAATAGAACCGCAAATATACTCATAAAACAAGATATAATTAGATGTAGATGAAAGAGGGATTCAGGTGTTTTATGATGACCCGAACAAATAGACTGAATATCGTAGCACTGTACTCAGTACTAGCGCCAGGATTTGCCAGACAAGTGGGCGTGGTCGGGCGTCGCTCGAAGTATACATTTTTTTATTCTTCCGGGGGGGGGGGTCTCCCCGACGGGGGCCCTGGTCACCGGCGGGGCCCCTGGTCCCCCGCTGGCGCCATCCCTGACTACTACAACATAAATGACTCAGAATGTATAACAGAAAAGAACTCAGGTAGCATTCACTAGTAATCAAGAAGACAATCAATATATTTTCGTGATGTATTTATTGTTCGTATTTGTAAGTGCTTATCTTGCAACAAAAGTTGATGTGGTGCCATGCATGGGTATTGTCTACAGCACAGAATGCGACAACAGTAAAATACCTTGTATCGGCAAAAATGTACATAAATAAAAATCTTAATATTACACATGAAACCCAACAAATAAATGAATTAACCAATATATACGACGACAAATATGGAAATGCGGACCAACACAATTGGTATGGGTAAAAAAACAGTAATGCACGATTTAGAAATAAAAAAGGTAAATTTAAAACAGTTTGATTAGAAACGCCAAGAATAAGACGATTAATAATCACTTAACTAACACTGTTAATATTTTATTGAGTAAATAAGCAAACCAATAGCACTAATTAATCAAATAGCAATTAATCAAATGAATTGCTAACACTATACGACATACGTAGGGGTACTTCAAGCACACCTGCTATTACAACGAAATCATAATGATGATGTAAGCCTAATGCTTAATTGGTCAAAATGCACAAAATGCCATAGAGAATCATAATAGCCATATGCACGGCTCACAGCTACTGAAAAAAGTTGCCATACCCCTTTGATATTTTTTGCTAAGATCCCACAAAAGAACCGTGTTTACGTATGTAAACACGTGGTTTTACTTGACAAGACTGGGGAACCAAGAGATTGGAGGAAGCCCTAGTGTAACAAATAACAAGTGTCATGGTAGACATGGCACAAGTCTCTTATTATTATGATCTTTCTTTCATTCTGGTCAACGCCAACAACGCTACCAATGAGAGACGGAATAAAAAAGAAATCGAGTATCGGACGCCAATTAAATTAGGTATGGCGCGCACTGAGCGCAATAAACAGTGAGTAACCCAAAATTAGGGCCTGGAACCCAGGCTTGTGTCATAGATGCCAAATTGTTGCTAAGTGCACATGTCATGCATGCGTTTGTGCACCCGATCATGTGCTGATTGTGCATTCTTACAAATTAAGCAAGCCAAATGTTAAAAAACAAATTTTCCAAAAATGTTGTCCAGCCTTGAACAACAACCACAATCCTTATTAATTAAACATACTGAATTAATTAAGTAAATTAGTATGCACATGCTATATAATTTCATAAAATTTATAATATATTTCCTTAGTTGTTAGTTCTGAAAATCACATGCACTTGCATTTAATAGTACTACACATGATTATGTTTACTCTGAAAACATGACCCAGCACATATCTATATTCAATAATAATCAATATATTACTTACTATACAAGGTGTCATACAATGGATCATGGTTTTAAAAATATTAAAACAGAATACAGAAACTCATTTTTAAAGGAAAGGTTGTGAAAATTTCGAAAATATTAGGGAAAATACATTCTGAAGATTATTATAAAATGATTGAAAACAAGTTTTGAACAAGAGTTTCATTAAACAGATTTTAAACTCCCGATTTAAATAATTAAATACACTATAATTCATACTTATAACAACCATTTCAATATCTAATTTTTGTAAAATATTATATTACACTATGTGCTAAGGTTTTGTAAAATGAGCCTGCTACCATAACAACATTTAAAAGAAAATTTAACAACTTAAAATTATTTTAACAATATAGCTATTAATGTTTTAATTATGTAATAATTATACAGTGACAATAATTATTGTTTTAATATTCTGAATAAATACAAATTTTATTTTTAAAATGTCCTATCTGACTTGTATCTGTCTCTATAGAAATGGTACTACTATGTTTTTGACAATATAAGTGCAACAAATTCCTATACAGTAATATAAGTTTCTATTTTCTTATAAAATAAGGTGGGTATAATCTTACACTGAAGCACTTGAAAATCATTAACAAAAGAACCCAACAATGTGAGGATACACAATTAAAAACAGAGGTTCATACAACTAGCTTACTTGACCAACAACATTTATAGTTCAACGCATAACAAAATGTGTGTGCGTGTAGCATATACCGATGGTTGGACCGCTTTGATATATCAGGTCCTGTCTTTAGTTATAACTGCTATAATTTAAAATGAATAGCATGCTTTAGATTTTTGACTGGGATGGTTTAATATAATTGAGGCATTCGTATAAGCATAAGCGTAAATATAATTATGTTTTGGATGTCATCAAACTCCTTAGTCTGGAATAAAAATCGGCTTTGAATTTCATAGTACTGCTCTCTTCTGACCAGTTAGAAAAAACTGACTTGTAAACACCATCTTATTCAATCATGCTAGTCATGTCATAGGTCATTGGTAATAACATAGTCTCCAGATTACTTGTCATCTTATAACACAATACTAACTGTAGCCTCTTAGCATATGTATAACATATAAACGAGAGCAGCATGAATTAAGAATAGGTAAACAGCCAAGATTGGTCTCAACTGGGGCTTTTGACGACATTTCCGTTGGAAGTAATAGCTATGCAAACAAAGAAAAAAAAAAGTTAATTGCATATGGGGAAATAAATCAATTAAAATTTGTTTCTTCAAAATTCATCATGATTTTAAGAATATCAGCCCACAATGAAGCCCTCAACCGTACCACCAACATCCCTATCACCACCGTCATTGCAGCTTTTGTCCCCACCAACATCTCAGCAACTCAACTACTGCCATTATCACACCACCACCATTACTACAGCCTTCAACATCACCACCACAGTCATCAGCACCTCCACTGCTGTCACTACCAGCAGTAACATCAACACCACTACCACTACGGCAATCTTCAACATTACCACCATCAACCTTAGCACCTCAACTACTGCCACTACCACCATCCTCAGTACCGTAACTCCTGCCCCTACCACCACTACTACAACCTTCAACATAAGCACCAGCATCCTCAGCACCTCGACTACTGCACTAACACCACTACTTCAACCTTCAATATAAGCACCAGCTGCAACCTTCAACATAAGCACCACCATCCTGAGCACCTCAACTACTGCGCTACCACCACTACTGCAACCTTCAACATCAGTACCACCATCCTCAGCATCTCCACTGCTGCTACTACCAGCAACAACACCCCCACCACCAATACTATAGCTTCAACATAAACATCAGCTCCTCGACATTACCAACACTACTAATATCATTCCGTCTAATCAACATATCATACCAACTTTTTAAAATTTATCATCCAGGTATGTATTCTACCATGTGTCTTCAGGTGTGGTATAACTTACTTTCGACCTTGGCACCAACGTTTCACATGAGATGTAAATGAATAAGCATGACGAGCTGAGGAGTAAACAAAATCATTACTAGAATATCAACAAACTTATTACATTGTACAATGATGAATAAATGAACGAATGGACTGATTAGATGTACCACATTCAACATGTGCTAGTACGCATGACATATTGAACCTGTGAATTTTTTTAGTGACAATATACATAATGGTAGACATTAAAAACACAATTAAAACAATTATTATTCAAATACAATGGTGAAAATGATAATACAATACTGATAATGAATATGCTGGTGTATGATGATGATAATATTAATTATGATATGGTAGACAATGGTTGCTGAAGATATTTTGTAGTGAGAATAGATGAAGTACAGTAGATTGTTCAGACTAAAGGAAAGAACATTTGAAGAAAAGACAATTCCAATGTCATTACACAAAACAAAATAAATATTAGTAACATGACACTTAGACTATGAGCAACAAATCAATGAAAAGCAAACACCAAAAACAAAACAAAAAAACCACTAAAATGCCAGTTATTGGTAGAAAAACAAACATTTAAAAAAAAATCAATTTTAAAAAAGGTGACTTGGGGGGTTCTTTTAGATAAGTTAAAATCAAAAATTGGAAAATAAGTAAATTTACATAAAGTAATTTAACACAACAAAAGTAAATTGTATATAAGAAACCAAAACTTTTGAGTAACGGGTAAAAAAGAATATCAAATTGCTGTTTTTGAACATTAGTAATATTAACATACCAAGGGTTGTATCAGCCCGAAGAAAATTTGGTTTATATACCAGTGAAGTACGTAATGTATTCTTACTGAGAACAGTATCTGATGAATGGGGAAGCATAGATGTCGCTCCACCAACATCTTCTATCATAATGCTGCTGTAATCTGAAGTTGAGGGCGGTAGTTTGTTAGCTTCAAATTTGAGCTGGTCTTGAGCCTTAAATAGGGCCTCTTCTAACTGTAATCTTTTATTTTGCTCGACTTCAACTGCCGCCTGAAAAAAACAATAGAAGTTCAGACATTTGAAAAAATAAATATAATAGTCATAAGTGTAATTCATTACATTATAAGTTCAGTGTTAAGTTACAAAAAAAGTTTAAGGCCATAACAGAAATAAAATGTATTATTACTATTTTAAAAATAAGAAAAAAATTCTTAACTGAATCATTCCATCAGTAAAAGGTATGATAATTAATGAAATGAAGGATGAGAATACAAGGTGGATAATAACCAAAAGGAAGTTTGCTATATAAAAGCTTATTAACATAAAAAGAATATATATATATATATATATATATATATATATATATATATACATATATATATATATATATATATATATATA